ATGGCCCTGTATCAGTTTAGAAGAAAACTGAGCTCACAGTCTCCTGGGCTTGAGATCTAAGAGCAGAGAGTCTGACTCATTCTTTACCTATAATCACCTGTAACTATTCAGTTCTTACTTCACAAGACCTCTTCTCTGTCCACCTCCTTGCTATTACCACCACTCTGACCCTAGTTTCGCCTCCCTCCACTTCTTCTCTTTCTGTTCCCTCCTTACTGTTTTTATACCACTTACTAAATGCTAATCACTCACACTGGTATCAATGAAGTCATCTCTGTATTGTCAGGACTCCTCTGTGGCAAATGGTGGAAAACTACCCTGAGCTTGCTTTAGGAAGACAGGAGTATAAGAATCTTAGATACTTCCCAGAAACAAAGGAATTACCACCAAATTTGGGGAAGAAAAGTAAAAACAATTTTGGCATCTCAGGGACAAGAACCTGAGACTTGAATACTATCAAAATTCTCTTGTCATCTTGTCTGTTTTTCTCTGCATGTTGACCTCATTCTCCTGTTGCAGATTGGCTTCTACATGGTGAGGGATATGGCTGTTGGCACCTCTGGGTTCACATCTTCTCAGCTTTGCCATCAGAGAGGAAAGAGCTTTCTCCCAGGTCCAGTTGAGAAAACCCCAGGGAAGGACATTTTGCCCCCTTTTGAGCCAATCAGTATGCCCAGGCGGGTGGGGGTATTGTGATTGGCCCAGCTTGAGCCTGGTCCCCACCCCTAGGAAATTACTATGGTGGGTAGGACAAAAGTGAGGGATATTCTGTGATCAGTACCTCCACTTGGTGCTGGGCTTGGGGTGGTAATGGGTAGTTTCTATAAAAGGGGGGGGATTACATCCTGTAAAACAGAAGAGCCCTGGGTACTTAGAACATTCAGAGTTCACTCCATACATTATTTAAGCCTTTGATTCTATCTCTCCATTACTTATAGCACACTTCTGTAAGAATAATCTTCCTAAAATGTTACATTTTTGACCAACTATACCCTAGTGTAGTGGTTCTCCAGCTTTAGTTCACAGTCACTTGGAGGGTGTGTTAAAACATAAATGCTCAGTTCTACCCTTGAAATCTGATCCATTGAGTCTGAGTAGACCCTGAGAATTTGCAGCTCTAACATTGCTAGGGGAAGCTTATGGCGTAGTCTCACTGTGAACCACTGCCCTAGCCCAAAAACTGTTGACTCCTCCTTGCCATAGGATACCAAGCATGTTCTTTAACCTCTCTTGAAAGACACTCCTCAGTCTGACCCTTCTTTATTGTTCTCATTTTAGAGTCCCTTTGTTCCGATCTGATTTATCTGATCCGTGTTCTCTAAAATACTTTCTACTTTCTTACCTCTTTGCCTTTCGAATAATTATTTGCAATGACCTTTACAATAGCCACTGAATTCAGGATTTTAACTAAAACATAATTTAGGTTCCATTTCTAACATCTTCTCTAACTCCAGACATAATCAATTTGTTTTCTCAGAACTGTTCATTCATTCATTCAGCAAATATTTATTGACCTTCTACTCTATGCAGGGTACTACATGCATAGCAAATAACAAAACAAAATCCCTGCTCTCATGGAGTGGGGAAGATACTTGAACAAACTTGTCTGGTGATATGCAGGAAAACAGCCAAGGAAGAAAATAGAAATTAGAAAGAGAGAGGTCAGGGTTACTTCAATGTGGTATCAGAAAGGATCCTTTGATAAGGGATTTATCCCTGTTTGTGTTAAGACTTGAAGGACATGAGAGTGGAGTGTTCTTTGTGCATATCATTCATGTAGAATGCATTATTTTTTTACTATTTATTATTATGACTATTTTTCCATATGTGTATTGTCTCTTCAGTGAGTTTTTAAGATCCTAAAGAGCAGTGTCCACTTAACATTTTTAAACTCCACACCACCAGCATGTTTCTTCAAATGTGAACCTTTAGTGAATAACTGTTACTGGTTATTTTCATACATATTGACTGATGATTTCCTTTCCCTGTGTGGATGTAGAACCAGCATAATAAAATATATGACATGTGAAACATATTTTGTATGTTGCATTGAAGAAAGAGAGTTGTTACCTTAAAATGGGACTTATCATTTGTTGTATGTGCTTTCCTCATAGTGAGTCTAATTTTCACAATTACACCTTGGTCTCACTGAATGAAGAATTCAATCGTGGACGAGGATTAAATGTGGGTGCCCGAGCTTGGGACAAGGGAGAGGTCTTGATGTTTTTCTGTGATGTTGATATATATTTCTCAGCCGAATTCCTTAACAGCTGCCGATTAAATGCTGAGCCAGGTGCGTAAAATAATTTGAGGGAAAAGAAATTTTAATTCAGCCCTAGTCTATATATTTTTTCCTAACTCGTATTAGGCATAATTTAACTGGAATGCTAAGTAGGAAATGGAAAAATTGACCCTTTGAAGTTCACATTTTTGTTCTCTTGGAGCCAAGTTTCAATGGCTACATTAAAGCCAGATAAGGAAATGCAAAAGAATAGGAAGTCTGGAAACTGACAGAAAGAAACAGTGCAAGTCAAGCAAAGAGCCAAGCAGATGGTATAGAAATATGTTGGAGTCGGAATCAGTCATCTTCGAGCAGATAGTGCGTGCGTACACATACACACGAATGGATGTATGCACACACACATATAGGTGCATGTATATGTGCACAAATGCATGCATGCACACACACTCATGCATGCAGCAGTCTAGATATAGATAATACTCGGTATCCATACTATGCATTTTGGGGTGATTTACTATACTTTGCTTCATGTTGGAGACCTTTTTTGAAAATAAATGAGCAAATGACATTCTTATAAATCAATATTTTATGTAAAAGGGAAAGTTTACAAATTAAACAATCTCAACAGGAGGAATAAGTTCAGGAGTTCTGTTGTACAATGTGGTGACTACAGTTAATTTATTATATACTTGGACATTGCTAAGAGAATAGATTTTAAGTGTTCTCACCACAATATAAATAAATAAATAGGTATGTGAAGTGATAGATTCACCTTGATTTAACCATTCCACAATGTATACATATATCAAAACATGTTAAATGTAATAAATATATACAGTTTTATTGATTTAAATAAAGTACATTTTCCTAAAAAAGATTCTTATGGATTTTTTAAAATCTAGAACTATTTATTTCATGCAAATGATTATCTTCTTATTAATCAGTTTGGTTAGGGATCATTTTCAGGAACTCTCTGATAGCCTAATTAGTATAAATGAGGGTTAGGTTTATATTTGTTATTCTAGACAGCATGAAATTCAAAATGTGGAAGTTAAAGATTTGCTCAATATAAAAGAAATATTTATTTTTATGTCCAGAAATAGATTTGCCTGTGGGCAGTTGAGCTCCCTATTCCTAAAAGGGTGTGTTTTTTTTAAGAATTATTTTATTTAACTTTTATTTACTTATATCAGTTTGACCAGTGAGGGATAGAGCAAAAGCAAGAGAGGGGTGGTAGGAAGAGAAAGTGAGAAAGCAAGCAGCCAGATCCTGGACTCAAACCACAGTCAGCCATGTGGGAGCCCAGTGCCCTTAACTGCCATGCTACCTGCCAGCCCCAGCTCCCTGTCCCAAAAAGGGTATGGACAAAGATGGAATGAGCATCTACTGGGGATCTTATCATAAAAAGGCTGCCATGGTACTTCCAGGCTCCTTGACAGTTATTGAACACTTCATGTGACTGTGTCTGATTACATCAGTCACAGCAAGACTTTCTCTATTGAGAGGTGATGGCTCTTTACCCTTAAAGGCCCTTTCAGTGCTATCAATTTTAGTGCTAATGATAATGTCTTCTGTAAGAGCTATTACATCAGGTATTTTTCATTTTTCCAGATCTTGGTTCAAATATGTCTGCAGCTCTTTTTTTTTTTTTTTTTTTTTTTTTTATTTCTGCCGTTTTTTTTTTTTTTTTTTTTTTTTTTTTTTTTTTTTTTTTTTTGGAGAGGTTTTTCGCTATCGGGCGCGTACGCTCGCCAGAAAGACAGAGAGAGACATAGAGATAGAAAGCGAGAAATCACCCCCTGGGGGGATGGTCACGCCACAATCCCTTCTCCCCCATTCTCCTCTCAGGATCTTGGGCACGCACGCACATGCGCCCAGCGTGAGTTTTAAGCCACCGGATCAAGGACCCGAACCGCGGTCGACTACATGGGAGTCCAGCGATATAGCCATTACGCTAACTACTGGTTCCCAATATGTCTGCGGCTCTATGTTTTACTTTTCTCAAAATATAAAGTCACTATATATAATTATTTGGACTTATCATTTCTAATGATTCATTTTTGATGATGGATTTAACTGAAGATTTTGTTTCTTAGTGATTATCAGAGAGGTTAATCTACTGTTACTACTGATGAAATGAAATAATGGATAATACATGGCTCACCTAGTGAATAGCTGAGAGAAATCTTTGTATGTCTCCCCAAAGTTAAAGGGAATAAACATTTGAAGCACCTTTAGTCTGTTTTTTCTTTCTGTCCTTTTGCAGTGGATAGCTTCATAATGACCTATTGATATGTTTTGAAATCATCATCGTGTTCATCAAATCAATATGATATTTTGTAGCCTGCATATTGATAAAATTGTCACATTATAATAAGACTTTAGTCAAAGATATTATAATAAAGATGAGTCTTTCATTTTATAACTTCTTTGTGTGATGTAACATATTTTAATTTATAGGTAAGAAGGTGTTTTACCCTGTGGTGTTCAGCCTTTACAATCCCGCCATTGTTTATGCCAACCAGGACGTGCCACCACCTGTAGAGCAGCAACTGGTGAGACTTTTACATATCAGCACTTGGAAATTATGAAAATATAAAAATTTAATAAATGGGTAAAATAGTGGGAATGGCCGAAGTTGAAACACATTTGTAAACTAGAAGACAAGGCCACTGGGAACATAAGACAAAAGATGGGTAACATGAGAGAGAAATTGAGATATGGAGAATATCAGAAGTTCACAAATAGCTTAGTAGGAGTTACGGAAAAGAAAGATTAAGGAGGGGAGGAAATTGAAGAAAAGACAGGTTTCTGGTAGTTGAGAACAGCCATGAAGGGATAATCCTAATAGCTTCCAGAGACACTAAAAATAGTAAAACCCAACTTGCCCACAAAGGAATAGGAGTTAGTTGGCATTCACCTTCTTTCTGATAGTATTGGTACCAGAAAACAAAACTATACCATGAAAATTCTGAAGAAAAGTAACTGATTTTGTAATCCATATTTGACCTATTTGAAGGCAAAGTAGACATTTTTGAACATTCCAGGACCTAACATTTACTTCCTACAGTAAACTTCCATATTTTATTTTATTTTATTAGTGAATAGCAAAATAATGGTGAACAGTAAAAAAAACAAACAAACAAAAAAGGGCAGACTTTTTGTTTCTTGTAATTTTCTATAGGGTACAAGCATTCCTGAAGAGAGAGAGAGAAAGAGAGAAATCACTCCTCAGGGGGGTGGTCATGCTGCAGTCCCTTCACCTCCATTCTCCTCTCCAGATATTGGGCATGAATGCATGAGAGCTGGCATGATTTTCATGCCTCTGGGTCTGGACTCAAACCATATAGTTGGCTTTGTGGGAACCAGCCACCTCAACCTCCACACCACCTACTGGCCCTCCAAAAAGTCAAACTTTTAAGTCCACTTGTTGAAGCATAATAATAATAATAATAATAATAATAATAATAAAGAATAGCAATTTGGGATTAAAAAGTCATATACATGATATATGTACATGTATTGCCTAGCTTTCTCAGCTGAGAGGGCCAGTGACATGCCAATCATAACAATTTCACTCAATTCCCAGATCTTGGCTTCTAATACTGTTGTTCTCCAATAAAAGGAAGCAGGTCTCCTTGGACAAATGATTGGTTCTAAGCTAAAACAGAAAAATTGTAAGAGGAGCCTGGGGTATCTTATAGCACAAGAAATGAGAAAATACTCAAAACAAAAGGATAAGACTGTGTCAAAGGAGCATAGAAATCAAACAAAAGAGCTAATAGCCACATTAGCACAATTCGAGCAATAAAAATTATGTTGACCAGGATTATGGTTTAAATCATATAATAAATAACTGGGAGTTCATATGGATATAAACAAATGTGTGGCTAAATAGATAAATAATAATAAATGAATGGATAGGCTAGATAGATTAGGGAAGCAGAGGTAGATCTTTCTTACAGATTTCAAGTCACTTACATAGATATTCCCTTTTCTAGAAAGTAGAACTAAGTGGCTCAGTTCCAAAGAATAGAATATGAAAAGAGAGAAACAGACTTTTCAGTGGAAAAATAGCATGTACTACCTTAACAAAATGAGGAAGGTTGATATCATTGTACCCCTGACATGATGTAACAAGGAGGACACTTCCCTGGGCTTCCTTCCAAAAATCTATAATCTCAATCTAATCATAAGAAAAACTTCAGGCAAATCCACCTTGAGAGGCATTCTACAAAATACTTGACCATTACATCTCAAAACTGCCAAGGTTTTCAAAAATGAAGAAGAGAACAAAAGTTGAGGAACCACCATAACCTGGAGAAAACTAAGGAGATGTGACAGCTAAACGTAATGCAGTGCCCTGGATTGGATCCTGGAACAGAAGAGGGGGCAGTAAAGGGAAAACCGATGAAATTTAAATAAAGTCTAGAGTTTAGTTAATAACACACCAACAATGGTTCCTTAGTTTTAACAAACATACTACCACAACAGTGCAAGATGATAACATTAGAGCTGGGTATGGGTGTATTGGAATTTTCTTTACTGTTTTGCAACTGTTCAGTAAATCTAAAAGTATTCCAAAACAAGAAAGATTATGTATTAAAATTCACCAGCCCTGTAACACAGTGGTTGATGGAACTAGTTCCCACAATTCGAGTTTCAGCTCTGGCAGCTTGAGGGACACACCAGGCATGTGTCCACAAGTGCCCAAAGTCCTGATGGGATGGAAGAATGGAGAGAAAAGGATTACAGAGTGACATGCTCTATTTGAAGGCTGCTTTCTTTCTGTTTCTGATCAATGCATGTACCCTCTGAGCAAAAAAAAAGATTATTCAAAGAGCTGGTCCCATGGCATGCCAGTTAAGCCCTGTGCACAGAGAGCCAGATCCTACATGACTGACCACAGTTCAAATCCCAGTCCTTGTGACTTGAAAGCCACACCAGTCAAGTATATGTGCATGCCCCAAATCCTGACAGGATAGAGAAATGGAGGAAAAAGGGTTATAGTATAATACCCCACTCGGAAGTGTGTTCTCTTCCCCCAACTTCTACCCCAGTGAGTGTATGTACCCTATGGCAATTAGAGGGAAGAAAAAATATTAAAAAGTTAACTGAAAAAGAAAAAGATTGCCAAATAGAGTCAATATAAAAGGGTGAAAAGGAATGTAAAAGTTTGATAATATTCTTGTCTGGCTTGCAGGGACGTAAAAAAAAATGATTTGAATGCCAGTTCATTGTAGACATTGCATATCAAAATTATTTTAAGTGCTTCAAGTTTTCATTTTACCACTTGTAACCTTTACAAGTTGCTTAACTTTTTTAAACTTCCATCTTAGAAAAGCTTGTTCTCCTTAAAGATATACTAGAAGTACATAGCAAACACACCAATGGGAAAAAATAGGTAAAAGACAGTTGATAGTAATTCATAATAAACATTTAAATATTCAGCTTTACTAGGAATAAAGTAAAACAGCAGTGTAATTCTTTTCCTCCTATAAAGCCACTATTTTAAAAAAGCATAGCCATGCATGCAGGCTGGTGGAATAGGAGCCCTCTGTCTCTGCTGGTGGACATTCAGTTAGCTTTCTGTGCTGGGAGGTTTTTGCCTTTTTGTTATTGTTGAGAAAGATTTTTTATATAGGGTGTGTGTGCCTGCCAGAGAGACAGAAAGTGAAAATCACCCCCTCCCGGGGGGATGGCCACACTGCAATCCTTTCTCCATAATCCTCTTGGGATTTTGGGCACATACACACACGTGCCTGACATGAGTTTCAAACCACCAGGTCCAGGACTCGAATCATGGTCAGCTATGTTGGAGTCCAGCTATATAACCATTATGCCATCTGCTGGTCCCTCTGTGCTAGTAGTTGTAAGCAGATTCATTCTTTCTAACCCAGTAATTTCCAGTCCCGGGAGTCTCTCCTGAGAAATTATTAGTAATCAGAGCTGTAGAGTAGCAATACGCATAAATTGACAACCAGCAAAACCAGTTAAAAACCAGCAAAACTCAGGACCAACTGATAGCATAATGGTTATGTTACTGGACTCCCATGTAGTTGACTGCGGTTCAAGTCTGGGACCCAGTGGCTTAAACTCATGCCAGGCACTTATTTGTGTGTGCCCAAAATCCTGAGAGGGGGATGAAGGAGAAGAGATTACACTGTGGCCATCCCCCTGGGGGGTAATTTCTCACTTTATGTCTCTGTGTCTTTCCTGCAAGCACATGCACCCTATAGCAGAAATCTCTTTAAAAAAAAAAAAAAAAAAACTAGCAAAACTCTACTGATAAAGTGATGAACTGAACTACAGTACAAACTATGGTGAATGTTAATGTATTGAGAGGAAAATGTGAAATACAAATAAAGTTTTAAAAAGCAGTGTAAATATAGAGGGACATATAAATTTAGAAAATGGGAAATAGTGGAGCTGGCAGGTGGTGTGATGGTTTTAAGGCGCTGAACTTCCACATGACTAACCGCAGTTTCAAGTCCTAGACCTGGTGGCTTGCAATCTCACTTCCCTTCTCTCTCATTGTCTCTCTGGTCAAATTAAAAACAAAACAAGCAAAAAAAAAAAAAAAAAAAAAAAAAACCTTTAAAAAAAGGGGAAATGGTATAAGTATCTTTTAGATGACATTTTAATGGGAATAATAACTAATATTTTATGTACCTTTACTAATATGATTGATATCGTTCCATTTTGCCTATTTGTTAACTCATTTAATCCTCCTAACAACTGTTGAGCAGTTGTTACCTCCTTTTTACGGATGAGGACACAGCTGTGCTGTAGTTAAATGACTATGCAGTGCACAGCTGGCATCATGGCTCTACAGTCTGCTCATACAGACTGCCATACTCCACTTATCGTCAACTGTTGAAGTTCTGTTCATCACTGATCCCCAACACCTAGAGCCATACAGACATGGTTATTGCTCACAGGGACATTTATTCTGGTAGGATGAAAGAGAAAATAAACTTGCCACACAGATTATGAAAATAGGCTGTGAGGAATGACTTAGTTTTTGTGGTGTGTTTGGTCAGAAAGGCCATTCTGTGAGAGGAACTGTTGAATGACAGAAAAGAACCAACTATGGGACCGACAGATGGCATAATGGTTATATTGCTGGACTCTCACATAGTTGACCACAGTTCGAGTCCAAGACCTGGCAGCTTAAAACTCACACCAGGCATGAGTGCGTGTATACCCAAAATCCCAAGAGGAAAAAGGAGAAGGGATTGTGGCATGGCCATCCACCTTAGGGAATGGTTTCTTGCTTTCTTTCTGTCTCTCTAGCAAGTGCACACACCCTATAACAAAAATCTCTTAAAAGAAAAGAACTAACTAGGCAGTGATGGGAGAGGCAGAAAGAACAGCTGCTGCCACTTATTGAAGTGGCTAGAGCATGGTGGAGGCAAGGCAAGAGGGCACTAAACTGGGCCAGGTCATGCAGAGGTTATGCCCCTGTAAGGAGTTTGCATTTATGCTAAGTGTTTTAGAATGCCTTTGGAGGGATTGTGTATGCTGGCTAAAAGTAGCAAGTTAGGCTTTTGCA